TGACCACACTTGATAGGACAAAAGCGTATATGCCAAATTCCTATCTCGTAGTAAACCGGTAGTCCGGGTATCGTCTCTCAGGGACTGGTACAACCTTTTATTCTATCAATTTATAGAGCAAACTATAGGTGAAAATGGTATAATGAGACTAATTATCTAAAAGCAAAATAAACTAATTAAGCAAAGTAAAATGGTCGGGAGAAATTCAATGGGAGAAAGCTCTGGGACAAAAACGGGGACTCACTACCTATCATATCAAAATTAATTCATATATTCTAATCAGTTTAATCCAATTCTCTACAGCCAGGATATCACGAATGTGCTAGCTATCCCTGTCGGGAATTACTACGTACTAAACAATTAAATCAAATCCTACTGTCGTAGCTCAATGACTTAATTATTTAGCCTGAAGAACAATATCCCAATCAAGACCGCATAGTACCTTATTTAATCCACTGTCGCTTCGATAAGTTACTATGTCACATGAAATAGGTTCAGTTATTAGGGTTTCACTGTCGCTAATAACCTAATTAACTACAAATCATTGTATTGGTGGCCAATAAACACAAAGCATTAAGTAATTTCATGCAATAGAGATTGGAAGAAAAGAAATACGAATCAATCCATCAATTTTAGAAATAGCTACATCCTATAGTGTTTCCCCCAGAAATTGGGGTTTAGTTCATGACGAAAATAAAACACACAATCATGTTTTGATTCATCATGATATTAAGGAAGAGAGAAAGAAATACTGATAGTGGTCGAAAACACTCAAATACCCCCTTCTCTAATCCCGCTGCTTCTTTTCTCTTCCGCGCGACCCCTTTCCAAGCTGCCATGCTGCTTTTTTTCCTAAAAAATTCGCCCCAAGAAATTATTTAGTTCCGTCCCCCGTAATTGTGTCCACCCCCTCCAAATATATCCCTAGCCTTCCGCGCCTTTTTCTTTTCTTCCCCTCTTAATTTCCTTCCGTCCCCTTGTTCTCTGTCCAAAAGAGATTCCCCAGTTCTGTGTCCCAAAGAATTGCCCTCCAAGCAATTAATTAATCCCCAGAAATTTTGTTTCCATGGCCCAAAAAAATTCCTCCATCCGCCCAGGCCCAAAGAGAGTCCCAACCCACAAAAGTCCAGTCCCGGTTCAACTCCTCATTAAGTTCCGGTCCAATGTACATCCAGTCCACTTGAATTATTCTATCCACCAATGCAAATTTCTCGTTTCATTTACCTGAAATATATAAAACATTTGGCACTTGATGGTAATGGTTTTATAACCATTCCAGGCTTAGTTGGACCTCAAACAAGTATTATAGGTCTCAAACATATCATGAAATAATCACATTAAGCACGCAAAATCAATATGTTTTCGACAATTATCACAACCCCACACTCAATACTTGCTTGTCCCTAAGCAACAATTCAGACAAGAGAATGATAATTGGAGAAAACACATCACAGACCACTAATCTAACACTCAAACAAAACAAAATTTTCCTTGTACTCTTGTTGTAATCAGTAGTTTCTTTCTCAAAGGACAAGTTGTGCTTTAATGATCATACCTTTCAACCCACACTCAAATTCTTGCAACCCTTTAACAATGACTAACTCAAATCCACAAAAAAAAAACTCAAATAACAACACTCAATTCCGATCGTCGGTAGTGGGTGGTTAACAATTTATGGTGCAATAGTTATTAGGAGAATCTAACCACATCAGTGAGGTGCATATCTCGTGAGGACAATCTGGCTTACTCACATAAATCATAAGCAACCAACTAAGCACAAGAGTTTCAAAAACTAATGGGGGAAGCCTTTCGCAAACTTGATTTTAACTTTAAGCACATCACTACCTTTTATGACAAGGAGAGTCTTTCTCTCTTTCTGATTTTGCTTGCCGAGTGGTCGTATTTATTACAAGTGGGATTTGTTTCTTACTACCGGTGACCGAGCAAGAGCAATTTCAGCTTCTTAGCACTCGCATAAGGGCTTCTTTCAACTCCTTTTCCTCGGTCCATGTGGAGGGTCATTGCACATTCTCAAACGACACTTCACTCAACGAGGGATCGTACTTGATAAGCAACATCGTACGGTCCGAACCGATGTTCAATTGAACCTTTCCTAATCCCCCTGTGCAATGAGTGATTGCCTCACACGATTTTGGCTTTTTACCCACACTTTAATTGTTATGGCAACTTTCTTATATTTTACTTGTCAGGTAGGATTTTCTCACTTATAAAGATACAGTTCACCCCATCATAAAACCTTTTAAAACAGAGAGACTCAATGCAAAGTCAAAAGCTCACAACAGATGCAAGTAAGCACGGTATCCAAACATGTCCAATGGTCAATGTTCTCCACCTAACTACTTCACCAAAATTCATTACACTATCCTCACAAAAGAGAATGTTGCTAAAAGAGTTTGCTCATTTAAAGTACATCAAGTCAGTCAAAACATCAAGCTCATTGTGAAGAACTATGCAATTCAACACTAGTGGGGTGATTTTGATGATTTCCTTCAAGCACAAACTCATTTCACACGCATCACAGTCATTTACATCATGTTACCACAAGAGTACAAGGTTTTGTTTTTAATTTTTCTGATTTTTAGGTGTTTTTTAGCCATTAGGTTAACACAGGCAGACTGCACTAGTACAGTTAGACTGCATGCAGTTTGGCTGTGCACAACCCAAATGACAGTTTTTTTTACCACATGCAACAGGGACAAACAACACTAAGACTCACCACCCCACACTCAGGATGCAACAATGTCCCTAATGTTCAACTCCTAATCTAAACATGCACGGGTTTGACACAAAAAAGAAAAAATAAAGAAAATAAAACTTACCTTGGGTTGCCTCCCAAGAAGCGCTTGTTTAACGTCCTCAGCTTGACGTTCATGGAGCTTTCAACCAATGGGTATGGAAAGGTATCCAGCATACCCTCCCGAGCAATGATAGAACGCATAACCTCCATCCAACATATGAGTCACCTCTGCAGGGCCAGGTGTGCGAAAACTTGGTATGACCTTCTTAGCTTGCATGTTGGACCCCTTAGTGAGGCGTAGGTGGTATTGCAGTGCCTCAAGCAAGTACTCTTCCTGTTTCAATGTCAGTGAAGAAGGAATAATAACAGGAAGATTGAAATCATTACCCAAATATCTATACTTGAGGTGATCTGGCAAGGATTTCTGTCCTTGCTTTGATTTCAGAATATGAGCAGATAGGACATGTGATGGTTCTTCAGGTTGTCCACTATCATAGGAGAATGAATTTTTCCTTTCTCGAGCTCCACTTTCAAAGGCATCAAATGCATCGTGATTATGATCAACTTGAAAGACATTAAAAATTTCCTCCTCCTTACCTACTCGGAATGTCAACTTGCCGCTCCCGACATCGATGAGTGCATCGCCAGTGGCTAGAAAAGGTGTACCAAGAATGAGAGGCACTCCCCGATCATCTTCCATATCCAGAATTACAAAATCTGTTGGGAGAATAAACTTCCCAACCTTCATCAATACATTCTCCACCACTCCTTTTGGAATTTTCACTAATCGATCAGCCAATTGGAGAGTGATCCGAGTAGGCTTAAGACCATCTCCCAATCCCAATTTCTTGTAGACTGAGTATGACATCAAATTAATTCCTGCTCCAAGATCACAAAGTGATTTATCGAACTCTCTACCTCCAATGACACATGGAATGGTGAAACTGCCCGGATCATCCCTCTTTTCTAGTAATTTATTTTGAATCACAGCACTACATTCAGAAGTAAGGGTTACCTTCTCCATATCAGCCCATTTGCGCTTCATTGTCAGCAAATCCCTTAAGAATTTAGCATATGTAGGCATCTGGTCAAGTGCCTCCGCCAACGGTATGTTGATATGAAGTTGTTTGAAGAGATTCACAAATTTTTTTGAAGTTTGGGTCTTCCATGGGCTTCATTAACCTCTGAGGGAATGGTGCGGGAGGTTCATAAGGCTTTACCTCTTCGTTCTTCAATTTTTCCACTTTTGGAGTTGCACAGGCAGAATGCTCATGCACAGGCAGATTGCATGCAGTTTGCATGTGCATGTAAGATTTTTCAGCTTTTGCACTTTCTTCATCCTCTACCTCTACAACTCCTTCTTTTTCTGATTTCGTTGACTTCCTCGAACTCTCTGGATCCTCCAAGGCCTTTCCACTCCTCAATGTGACAACTACAACCATGGCATCCTTCGGATTCTTCTCGGTATTTGCTGGTAAAGTTCCCGGAATCCTACCTTGAATATCTGCCAAAGTTTGGGCCATCTGGCCTATTTGCCTCTCCATAGCTAGCATAGATGATTGCATATTGTTGTTGATGGCTAGCTGTTGAGTGACAAATTGATCAAGACCCTTGAAATTATTGTTTGTTTTCTTCATATGAGCCAAAATCAACTCTTCCAATTGGGGCTTCTTCTCTGGTTGAGGATGCTGTTGTTGAAAACCAGGAGGTGGGATGTTTCAAACACTAGCTGGATTATTGTTTGACCATGACATATTGGGGTGATGTCTCCATTAAGTGTTGTATGTATTTCAATACATACCACCCTGGCCTTGACTTCGCGGATTATTGATATATTGGACATCTTCCAATTGAGCAGCTCCCAGTGGACACATATACCTATAATGAGGACCCTCGCAAAGTTCACATGAAACAACCTCCTCTTGTCTACCCAGAGCAATCTTGGCCAGCCTTCGTTCGAGTGCATCGAACTTAGAATCCAGCTTGGCATCTATCTTGGCTTATAGACTCGCAACTCTGTTTATCTCAAGCAAGCCTCCTCTTCTTCGAATACTGGTCTCACTACCCCATTCAGTGGCTTCTGAACAGATCTTCTCTACCAGTTCATATGCTACTGGAGCCTCCATCCTTGTGAAACCATTTCGAGAAGCATTATTTAGGGCATCCCGAAACTCCCTTCTGATTCCATTGAAGAAAATAATGATCACGTTCCAATCTTCAAGACCATGGCTTGGGCATCTCATCAATAGCCCCTTGTAGTGTTCCCATGCCTCAGTAGACTCTCATCATCAACCTGCTTAAAAGTAACAATCTCTTCTTGCCTCTTCATTTCCAAGGCAGGTGGTAAGTATTTATCTAGAAAGACCTTCTCAAGCTGAGCCCATGTCGTGATGGAACGTGGTGTTAAGTTCTGAAACCAGTGTGATGCGTTCCCTATCAGGGAGAATGAGAACATACGAAGACGAACTGCATCATCAGGCACTGCAGGGCTCTTCATCGTATCACATATGCTTGCGAACCGACGAAGGTGTTCGTGAGGATCCTCAGTGCTAACCCCGGAGAAAGTGTACCCGTTGGTGATCATATTGATAAATGCTGGGGTAATTTCCATGGTTGCATCCCCAGCCGGAATGACAACACATGAAGCTCGGCTCCAGTCCTTCGATTCAAACGAGCCCTGATTGATCGATCCTCGTCTGCCATGATGTCTGGCTCAATGTCACGAGGTGGTGGTGGTGTAGGGACGACAGGTGATGAAGCCTGCCCTCTCTGTTGACGGTTCTTGGTTAGGGAAGGCCTAGGAGTTGTGGTTGTGGTAGGATGCTTCCCTAACTTGACCTGCTTCCTGTTCTGTTGGCAGGTCCTATCTATCTCTGGATCAAGTGGCAACAAATTGTCGGTCGTCCTCCTTGGCATGCACGAAGAAGATAAACCTGAAAATTCTTCTGCACACTAACACCCAGATAAAACTAGTTCACTCACAAAAATCAACAAAAATAAGGTATGGCAGTCCCCGGCAACGGCGCCAAAAACTTGATAGGGCAAAAGCGTATATGCCAAATTCCTATCTCGTAGTAAACCGAAAGTCCGGGTATCGTTTCTCAGGGACTGGTACAAACTTTTATTCTATCAATTTATAGAGCAAACTATAGGTGAAAATGGTTTAATGAGACTAATTATCTAAAAGCAAAATAAACTAATTAAGCAAAGTAAAATGGTCGGGAGAAATTCAATGGGAGAAAGCTCTGGGACAAAAACCGGGACTCACTACCTATCATATCAAAATTAATTCATATATTCTAATCAGTTTAATCCAATTCTCTACAGCCAGGATATCACGAATGTGCTAGCTATCCCTGTCGGGAATTAGTACGTACTAAACAATTAAATCAAATCCTACTGTCGTAGCTTAATGACTTAATTATTTAGCCTGAAGAACGATATCCCAATCAAGCCGCATAGTACCTTATTTAATCCACTGTCGCTTCGATAAGTTACCACGTCACATGAAATAGGTTCAGTTATTAGGGTTTCATTGTCGCTAATAACCTAATTAACTACAAATCATTGTATTGGTGGCTAGTCAACACAAAGCATTAAGTAATTTCATGCGATAGAGATTGGAAGAAAAGAAATACGAATCAATCCATCAATTTAAGAAATAGCTACATCCTATAGTGTTTCCCCCAGAAATTGGGGTTTAGTTCATGACGAAAATAAAACACACAATCATGTTTTGATTCATCATGATATTAAGGAAGAGAGAAAGAAATACTGATAGTGGTCGAAAAACACTCAAATACTCCCTTCTCTAATCCCGCTGCTTCTCTTCTCTTCCGCGCGACCCCTTTCCAAGCTGCCCTGCTGCTTTTTTTCCTAAAGAATTCACCCCCAGAAATTATTTAGTTCCGTCCCCCATAATTGTGTCCGCCCCCTCCAAATATATCCCTAGCCTTCCGCGCCTTTTTCTTTTCTTCCCCTCTTAATTTCCTTCCGTCCCCTTGTTCTCTGTCCAAAAGAGATTCCCCATTTCCGTGTCCCAAAGAATTGCCCTCCAAGCAATTAATTAATCCCCAGAAATTTTGTTTCCCTGGCCCAAAAAAATTCCTCCATCCGCCCAGGCCCAAAGAGAATCCCAGCCCACAAAAGTCCAGTCCCGGTTCAACTCCTCATTAAGTTCCGGTCCAATGTACATCCAGTCCACTTGAATTATTCTATCCACCAATGCAAATTTCTCGTTTCATTTACCTGAAATATATATAACATTTGGCACTTGATGGTAATGGTTTTATAACCATTCCAGGCTTAGTTGGACCTCAAAGAAGTAGTATAGGTCTCAAACATATCATGAAATAATCACATTAAGCACGCAAAATCAATATGTTTTTGAAAATTATCAACAATCAAGGGGAATACTCGATTGATACGAAGTAAACACTTAAGAAATTGGAGTCCACCAATTCACAAGAGCAAATTCAAGAGTTAAAACTCAATGAACCAAAAGGGGGTTTTCTATTCTACATAACTCCCCAAATTTGTGTCTTACAACCCTTTAAATAGGTATGGAAAATAAAACTAATGAAAACACAGAAAAGAAAAAAGAATCCTACACGAAAAAGGTAACTAAACTCGTCAGTTGCAAATCCACGGTCTACCCTAGAATTTCATGGTCGTGGATTTAGGGTCTCTGGCCGTGGAACTTCCCTTCCTCAAATCCACTGTTTAGCCTCATATTCCACGGTTGTGGAATTGACTCACTAACCGTGGATTTTAACTGGTCACCATACGATCTTCAGGGTGCTCGTTTGGTGCCCAGGATTCAATCTTCTCATCCAACGTCTTTACGATCTTTAACAAGACTTGTAATCTCACCTCCAACTCCTAGCTTCCCTCGAATGCCTCCCAAATGAAATGAGTAAGACTCTAAAGTAGGTACCTCGGACTGTTTCCTAGACATGGCCAAATTTTCAGCTTCTTCTTCTCTTGACTTGGTTTCTTCTTTGAACATCAATGAAAATGGTTATGGGCACAGTACATGTCTACATGATCACATCAGGGTTCATCAACCTAAGTGAAGGAGACTAACTCATAGAGAAGAAGAGAGATAATACAATATAGGGCTTAGAATCTTCAATCTTCATCTTCTAGAGGATGACCTTCAAGCTCCAATGGTGATTTGAACCTCCAAAATAGATCGAAGAACCCTCCTAGGCCACTCTCAATCTCTCTAGAATTGCCCCTTGGGTGTTTTGGGGTAAAAACCCGGCCCCTCTTCTAAAAACCTGCTACTTTTAATTGATACACGCACTAGTGCACACTTCACGGTTTAGTGTAGTGTTTCACGCCATGGGGTCATGAAGTGTGCAATGCCCACAAGATGCAACATAGTTGCTGAAAGCTTGATTGTTTCACGATTTTGGGGGCTGGGGATGTTCATGCCCTCTAAGCTTCGAACATTTGCTCTAACTCGCAAACCTTGCAAATCCCCCACTTTTGGCTCGTTTTGACCTCCGAATGTCCTAGAACTCGTCCCCAAACTTCTCACACATACTAGGGCCTGAAATATGACAAAAGAAGCACAACCTAGCATAAAATGGACCGATGAATGATGATCACCAAGTCAAACAATCAAGATATGAAGGGGTAAACCATGTACAATCAAGCCCAAATCAAACTCTCCCACACTTAACCGTTTGCTTGGCCCCAATCAAACTTACTTAAACCAATAAAAATTGCAAGAGAATTACAATGGTATGCACTATAACTCGTCTGTAGCACTTTCAAAGTCAATAAGAGACAAGAAACTTCACTTCCACCTCAATGCGACAACACAAACCTGGATGAGGACCTTGCTACTAAAGAGGTCTAGACACGTCACATGTGCACTGGAGGACTCTTGAGAAAATGGTTAAAAGCATTGGACTCAATAGTGCTGCTCCTACTTTAAAGGGATCAAACTTTTAGCCACAAGTCCACAACTTAACAATGCTGAACCTGGCACCACTTTTATTATTATTTTTCTCTTTTTTCGTCTTTGCAAGACAAGGGCTTTACTCGAGGCAAAGAGTGGAAGTAACATCCACTTCCCTTTTCATGCCTCATGTTTGGAAAATGATGGTTTCTTATCAAGCACCGATTCTCGACCTGCACTACCGTCTAAATGATAGACGAGCTGCCACACATCTGAGATATTTACAAGCCGAGTCACTTGACTCTAGCAGAAGAAGCATCTAGCATGAGATGCAACTTCTAAACCAAGTCCTTGAGGAGGATAGGTGTTTGTAAGGGTGATTGGACGATACAAAGCTATCAAAAATGTCACCAAAATACATCCTCAAATGGCATTCCGGTCCAAAAGAGAAGCCTTTGAAGACTTAACTTAAACTCTATGACTGGTTGCTTCCCACGTGAGATACTTTTTAACACATTTTAAAAAAATGGAGCACCTTTTTGAAAAAGAGTCCGAAAATGGGGATAGTCTTACACATATGTCCTAAACTCGATAGTAAAACTATCACCACATCCGAGAAGAAATGGAAGCCAAATCCCTCATGTACCAACAAACTCATAGCACTACATCACTCCCTATAATGCACACATTGCGATTATCATAGAATTCAAAGTACACCGAGTATGTACATCATACATGCATCAGACAAAGTGTTTAAGCCCTCAATTCTTTTTAAATTTGGGCATGAAACATGATGATATGTAGCAAGTGCTATTTTATACGTCTGTATTATGACCAAAACTTCATGGTTGTTATACATTAATCGTCATAATACCTTGAATTTGCTTGATACTTGTCCGAAGCTGCATTTGATAGCCTTTAGGTGTGTTTTTACACATTTAATGCCTTATTGGGTAGTCTTTGGATATTTTCAGGCCAAGACAGTAGAGACGCTACAAATTGAGCTTGAAATCTTTCTAGCCTCCACCTCATGCTCCTCCACATCGGTCTAGACAAACAAAAAAAAAACGTACCATAAAAGACACAATCCATACCATAAACAAGATGAAGCTTCCACAAAATCCTTTAGTATTCTTTAAACATGAAGGATTAAGTCACCTTGTTTGTGTCCTCTTCAATCTTGTCGACACCTATGGATTGATCTTCGTTTTGTTCTATTTCTTCACTACACTGTTTCTCGTTTTCTTCCACATTATTCCCTTCTTTAACTTGACGCAACTGAGGTCCTCTCCTTATTGATTGATTTTTGAAGATGATTCGTCGAGTAAAACAGATCATGTTGACCACGTATAAGATGAAGCATACATGACACTAATAGACTATATTAAAGAGCACGAATATAAAATGTCATACCTTGAATATAGCTCAACAATCTTGTCGAGATTTGTGTTGGCTGAGTCGCAATCATCATCATTCTCTCTCTTGTCACCTTCATGTTCATTATCATTCAGATGCTAGTCTCCTTTTTCTCATCATTCCCCCCCTCAATTGCTTCATTATCATCATTAGTATGATTTTCACTGTCCTCTTTCTCTTCATTCCCAACACTGTCTTGTCCACAAATATATTGAGCACCAATATGTTGTTGTGTTGCATTTTCCTGGTCCCACACCTCCATTAGCGTTTTTATACATTCACTC